TTTAAGCTGCAAAACGGTATTTTTTCATTCATTCAAACTTTGCGACTACGGCATAACCTCATCCGATAAAAAAGCAGGATCTCGGCGTACTGGAAGCATGCACCAAATGTTATGATCCGAGAGAGAGTAATAAAGGCAGCAAATAAATTTGGGAGCAGGAAAGACTGCTGCGGACAAAAGCCACAACTCCCCCGTTCTTTCTCATATTGTAGTGCACCTCGTCATTTGGGAAGCTGAGATGATTAATCGGTGCAACATCGAAGATTTTGGTCTCCACCAAGAAAATCATGGCGGGACGATTAGACTTCAGACAGTAGTAAGCAGCATCAATGTTGTTCTTAATCCTGCAGATGTTCGTAAAACAGATTTTGTCATCGATGTTGTTCTCTCGAGTACACCCTCTACCCGAACATTCCGGGAACGGAGCTTAAGTACGAAATTGTTGGTACTCGAGGGATCCATCACCATGAATTTCTGAGTTGTAAAGGAAAAGAGAAGATATCTTAAAGTAAGTACACGCACCCATCGTGATATATATATTTTCTGTTTGTGTATTCTACTGTTTTCAACATCCTCATATATTTTGACCTATTTCTTAACAAATAACTTATTTGGTATTTCTTTACTTTTCACAATATGTAGCCCTTAAGAAGTCATCAAATAAATGTCGAAAGGTCGGCTTTATGAGTAAAGTGCATAATTGAACATCTTGAACGTTGTATCACAAAATCCGAAGATTAAGACAAGAAGTGCTTCACCTAGTAGGACGACAACTAACTTTTGTTTTATACAATCGTACAGTTAGGTAAGTATGCCAAAGTTAATCTACCTAACCTTATCTTCCAAGTTGTAACAACGACAATGAAAATTTCGGACTAAAAGGTGACTTTGTACCGATGTGAACTTTACAATATGGGTTATCTAAAACGACAAGCCTCCGATAATTGAATTATAACCATTTTATCATCACATAGCGTTACGAAATCACCTATTTGGGTGTTCTCATGCTACAATGCAACTCAAAAATAAGAAATAAAATCAATTCTATATATGACACGTTAACTCCACACAACCTGTTTCTTAAGCGTGGTCGGTCAAACAAATCAGGTGACTACCCAGTAAACTCTTCAACTGTTCAATACTATTTTGTCCTCAGATAATCAATTTTCCGAAAGGCCTCTTTATTTCGCAGTTAGATGGTGGAAAGAATTCTGAAGTGGATCAACTAAAAGGTCTTCCAAACCATTATAGCTCAAATAAGATGAATGGCGTGGTAAAGTGAGTTTGTCATGTATGGAATGGATTTTTGCATAATATGCTCGCGACTGTGAAGTGGGGGGCAAGTTTGATCTGGGTTAAATAGACTCTCTGGTGTGGAGGGTCAAAGGATTACACAAAAAATAAAATATCAAAGTTTATTAACAAAACGCCGCACAATAAAAGTACAAAAGTACATCTACATCTTCTATAGGTGATTTTTGGTATATCAACTTCTTTTGACGAGTTCTACAAGCTTTTAAAATAAATGAGCTTATTTGGACATAGCTGCACGTGTCATTATCTCCATCGAAAATTGCTATGTGCTTTTGATGACTCCATCAATGTATTTGTTTATAGCCACAACATTTTTCGAAACGACGAGTCTTCAACTTTTTTTCGAAAAGAACTGAATAGAAAGAAGTGGAACCAAGTAGGTTGCGTCAATACTCCCACACATTGGAATCAAAACCTATAATCTCCCCATAAATTACTGAGAAATAGAACTTTGCAAGGACATTTAAACAAAACAAAAACTCCAAGCGTTGTTAGCGATAGATATATACAGGGTTTGTCCGGAAAGAAATAGCACCCATTTTCTTCCGCCATGACTGAACTTCGGAGCGTGCGCGCACCGACTGGCTAACGAATGAGCGGCTGGTCAGTTGTCTCCGAGCACTTGGAGAGTCAGGACAGGCATTTTCGCGCGACGTGTTTCTGTGAGTTTTTGATTCCTCGGCTGGAAAGGCCGATGAAAGGCAAGCATTTTGAGACGACAGAGGGGATCCAAGCAGCATGCACCGCGGCTCTCAAGGCTATTCCGGAGAATGCGCTGGCAGCGCTGCATCGACGCAGAAGGAGCCTATTTTGAAAGTTTTTAAAGAATTGTAACGATTGGCTCAATAAATGTATTTAAATCGACTCAGTCCTATTACTTTCCGGACAAACCCTGTATATAGCCATAAAAGGTATTCCTGGTTTCATCATTTTCGTCCATTTACTATGGAGCGGGATAACTAGAAAGTAGAAAATAGTCAAAAAATAAATTTTCGCGATTTTTAGGTGTTTTGTGCATAAAAACAATAATAAGCAACTCCAAAATCATTCAAAATATTAAGTTTGTGGATGTTCTCCATTTTTCCTTGCTCCTGCGCCTTTATTGGTGAATGCGTGCATATATCACTGGCATAGCAGTACCTTTGTGTCAAACTTGCACTAGAATCCGAGCAGTAACTTCCGAACTATAGGAATGGAGGGCCTCGCAGCTTCTTCGCTGGAGTTATTTTTAAGGCTTTTTCTGGCTGAAGCGAACGCGTCAGCAGCTCGGGTTATATTTGTGCTTCCTGTGCTAGAACCTGTGCTGCTCTGTGTGCGCGTGAAATCCATTCATCTGACAAATCCTATACTGTTTCTTAACCTTAGGTTGAGGTTGAAGGAAATTTTTTCTCCATTGTCGTCAACAGTATCAAATTGGATGGTATATTTAACCAATATTGAGGCCATATTAATGCTAAGAAAGGTATAGGATGACACAAACAGACCAACGAGCAATAGTAGGTTTCGACTTGGTAGGTTGCAAATACGGTGAGGTTCAAATTTGGCTGACGTCGTAATGCGTACCAGAGAGAAGCGTGCAATATGCAGCTGCTTCCGTGGCCTCGTCACTCGGATTGCTAGGCAACGAGGTGCTTTTATCTCTTTCTAATACACGTATTGTCACGTCAGTGGTATATGGATTTCACTGTATACATATGTACATACGAATGAATATGTACGACGGAGAATTGGTACGAAAATTTGTACAACACTAACCACCATGTTGAAATGCAAGCATTACTATGGTGGAATGAAGAGCGAATCACTGAGGAGTTTCAATGATTATGTCGCTTCTGTTAGAAAAATCAAGGCCCTACTCAATTTTTTAGCTTTTCTGTAGTTTCTGAATATTGTATCCTGTACGCTAGATACTGACGTACTTTTTGGCCGCAAAGTCCGTAAATGTTTACTTCTACATGTGTGGTTGCATTTGGTGGCAAGAAGTACATGCAACTTCAATACTTTGTCACTTTCATTTTGGAATTCAATACCTAAAATAAATGTGCAATAAAATGGAATCCATCATGCGACACTAAAAGAAAAAACACACTTCATATAAATATTTCAATTATAGCATGCAATCAAACCATCATTACACCAACGCATTATGACCATATTAGAACCCAATTAACATGGCGACAACGGGTATAAATGTGTCGTCCAATAATACTTTGCGTAAAGCTTTCCTGAGGTGAAGTAGATCACACAAACAATGACTACTAATCTTTACAAAAGAGACATGACCGGTAAGATATGCATATTTAATGGTGTTAGCACGTTAGTTTTGATAAAATATTAAATACGTTTCCAGTATGAACCAGTTTTTGAATGGTATCAGTTAAATATTTCGATTAGGTTGAAGCCGACAAAAAAAAATGACTACTTAATTATATTTTTAGGGAAGAAAATGGTACAGATAAATTCCTTTTGTTTGTGAAGACGTTTGGTAAATATTCACAAACATGAATCAAGTATTCTATTTGTTGTAAGAATATTACTTTCTCTATTCCTTTCCTTAACATTTTTAAAATTCTCAAATAATAAAACATACCAAAGCAATGTTTTCATTCATCAAAAGAAGTTAGTATTTTGTTTTTGTTAAAGGTAATATTTTCCTTATTTAGGTACGGGTGTTTATTAATAAAAGTTTTCTCACGTTTATATGTTGTTTTTTTAAATATTAAAAACCAAAAATAGAGACTAATTGAGGATGAAATCGCAATTATATGAAGTATTTCTCACATACGTGAAAAATCATCACCTCCGAGATTTATATTTTTCCTAAATCCTCAATATTTTAAAAACCAATATGTAAAGTTCTCTAAGCTATGCATTATTAAATGTCATAAGGTGCTTTTTCACGAAATTGCTACAAATAGACACAGATTTAATCACCTTTCATGATAATGACCCATTTAGAGCCTTTCTGTGTTTTCTTCTTCGTAACCTGCCTTGTGTTTCTCTTCCATCATCTCTGGCTTGAAGTGTTTTTTTTTATTAATTATTAAAAAACTGTTGGCTTGCATAATAACATTACGATATCAAAAGTAAACGTTGCAAAGTTCTCACTAGTGGGTAAAATACAACACATTTGGTCCATCCTAAACGGAAAGGTCTAAGATAAACATATCTGTTTATGGCTCTTCTTTCTCATGTTAAAACCCTTAGAAAAATATCCGATTTGTAAAATCCAAAGAAGACCGGATAGCAAACATCGCTTATTTCATTTCTAGACACTAACATATAAAAAAAGAAACATTTGGCGGATTAAACCTAGCATCTTCCTAAGACACCATCACATGTACCTCCCGTTCAGACAAAGACGGTGCAGTGGCATAACATAATGGGGTTAAATTGTGAAAGTATGGGAGTGAGATCGATTTGATTGTAACAAATGATTAATATAAGATTTAACCTCCGCATTGACAAGGAGGCAAGTTTTTTTGACCTGCTCAGCCCAGCTGAGCTCCACACAAATTTGTGGTGTTCGTCACATATTGGACTGCTTTGTAGTTCTATCGTTGTTGAGAAAATTGTTAATCTACTGCAGTTAGGATTCGAGTTGGAGCAAGAAACCAACCCGATTATAACAGATTTGCAATAAAAAATAATTACACTTTATGTATTCCATGTAATTTTATTAGTATGCATTGATTAATAATTCATGTGTCCCACGTGGAACTGCAGAATCGCACCTTTGCTTTCGGACGATTTTAGCTCTGAGGTAAAACATACCTGCGGAATTCAAAGTTCAGTCGGAGCAGGGATTATGGAACTAAATAAATATTTAAATGCATCGCTTTTATTTAGAACAGAAGATCCCCTGAATTGGGCAGGAAAGGCCAAAGGTCTAACACAGATTAGTTAAGTTGGTGGTTAAGCAGCGTATTCTTGTTCTTTTTATCAAAACGGATGTTTCAAATTTAAATTCTCGAAGTAAATTCTCGCTTACACAGTAGCTATAAGATTTGCATGTTTTCTAACAATCTCAAATAAGGTGGGATATACTTTGTGTTTTCAGCAGTTTCCATTTTAATAAACAATACGTACCTCTGATCAGGGTTGACAAATGTCCTCCTTTCGGGAGAATAGTCCTCTTGTTTAGCTGTTAATTTTGTCATTTTCCGATACAATAAAAGGTCAGGATTGCCATACAGTGATATCCCCATTAACTATAAATACAGATTCTTTGTTCATGATTAATCGAATAGCATGATCATCTTGCAGTACATCCAGCATCAGCGCCTTGAAGGGCATCGCTGACGGTTAAAGCAACAATGACGAATAAAGTGCGTTTGAACTACTACTAGAGATTAGGTAATGTTTTATTCTGTTCACAACTTGAACTACGTCAGTCATTCTATTGTTATTGTATCTCAAGCTGAGAATATCGCAAACTAAAACGATTCTTAACAAATTGAACTTTCATCGAGACAAGAAGTAGAAGTACAATTTACAAAAATTTCAACACATACGAGAGCCAAGCTCTCTACTGTCAAATCTGTTGTTGAAAGAGACATGCAATGACCTATAGCTGACATGGAAAACCCGCAATATAAGTCTTCCCTTCCCCACTCAAAACCTGCTATATCCAAAGTGAAAGACACACATGAGCAAGTAATTACTCTGTATAAAAAGTAATATGCGTCGGGTACTTTCCGAGACATTTTAACTCGTCACCAAAAGCCTAGATTTATAGTTAATACTGACTCCATAGTGACATTTCAAAAAACTACTTATCTATTTGTATCAACAATTCAATGTTTATACAGGGTGGCCAATATATAACAGACAGATTTAAATTTCGCGCCATTTTTGATACACTCATTTCAGTAGGTGACGCTGTAGTAGTTGTGTTTAAAACACTTGTGTCCAATTCATCATGCGGCTCTACACGATCCCACACGCGTCCGTATTGGTAAAACGTTTTACTTAAATAATAAGTCAATTCTTGCAACGAATCGGGAGTTACGACAACATTTCGGTCGTAATAATGTGCCCATTGCCAACACCATTCATCAGTTGATGCGAAAATTTGAACAAACAGGTGGAGTTGCCAAGGTCGGGCCGTGTTCGTACTTCGGAAAATATCGAGATAATTCGTGAAAGTGAAGTGGAGGGCCCTGATACGTCTACCAGACATCGTTCTCAAGAACTGAGTATTCGTCGCACGTCATTATGCACTATTTTAGAAAAGACTTGCATTTGCGGCCATACAAAATTCAGTTAGCCCAAGAACTACAGCCTAGTGACCATGAAAGTCGCCGACAATACAATCATGCAATATTGCAGCTTAATACCCAAAATAATAATAACAACGGATAATGAGCGATGAAACCCACTTCGATATGAACGGATTTATTAATAAGCAGAATTGTGGTATCTGGGCATTAGACAACCCTTGTGTCATCCATCAACGACCACTACATCCTCGTCGAGTCACAATTTGGTGCGGTGTTTGGTATGGAGGTGTAATTGGACTTTACTTCTTTGAAGACGCTGCAGGTAACTCTCTTACTGTCACTGGCGAGCGCACCCGACTTTTTTATGGGGTTTTTTGAAAAATATGGGTTAATGCCATCAAGCCAAATACTGTGAAGCAGCTGAAGAACAATATTACGGAAGCGACTGAAAATAATCCTCCCGAAACCTACCAAAAAGTGATGGAAAATGTAATCGAGTGGGCTCAGGTTTGCGCGGCTTGTAGAGTCGGGCATTTGTCTGATATTATTTTTCATAGATTTCTAAGTTTCAATAAAAGATGAAGATGAAAAAAAGGGACGTATTTTATTTCACAAATATTCCAGATACAAACCAGTCAGTTACATATCGGCCACCCTGTAGATATACTTAGACTAACCAAAGAGGGTACTTTAGAAGAGTGTAAACATGACCTAGCTGCACACAATATCGTTTATCACTCAGATCATGTACGCGTTTCCCAGTCTGGTGAGTCATTGTTATCACAAGCAACGAAACGCAAGAAGGAAGATGGCAGTTAACTTTAATAAGCATTACTTTTTTGCACGTAACCCCATTATAAATTTTATAAGTATAACAAAATGGTGTAACACAATTTGAGGTGAATCATATTGAGCAATAAAATGCATTTCTGTATAATAGCGGCAAATACAAACGGAAACATTGAAGTCGTTTATCACATTTTTCCGTGGTTGTTTGCATCAGCTTTTTGTGGTGGTCCTATTTACAAATTAGATGATTATTTCCCATAAGTTTTGTTAATATTTTTGTTATTTCAAATATATTTGCTACAAGTCCTCCTCGTTTCGTAGAAAATCACAGGTATGGCTTGCTGGTGCTATTGCATACTGAAAAAAAGTATCAAATGATGGTAGCCGTATTGAATGACAAGATTTTTTGTTCAATTGATTTTAATACGGAATTTGAGTTCAGCGAGTAAGGAGTGAATATATCCGCCAAGATGAACATTCTCAAATATGTATGATTAACTCTGTAGAAATTCAGCAGAGTCAAGTCCTTTTTAACTGAAGCAATTAAGCCAGTTATTTTTTTAGAATGTTTTATGACAAAAAAAATCGACCATTTCAAATGATGATTATTTCATATAAATCAGAGATTAATATGTTGTATTTGTTTAGCTTAATGTAATGAATACCCATAGACCTATTTTTAAAAATTATTTTTTATTCAAATATAAATAACATGAGATATATACGATACATACTCTTCATATATAATATACGATTAAAGAAAAAATAAACAATAATTTTGACAAATCGATAAACTTTGGAAAACATTCCATAATATATAAAATTACTAAGAAAAGGAATGTACAAAATGAGCATAAACTTATAGATTAAAGCAGATCCTTCAAGCCTGCTATCGACTTTTTCAGCAATTCTTGTTGAGTGCGTGCGTGCTTTATCTCCAGTTCTGTGAGTTCTATTAAACTAAAAAGAACATATAAGATTACAAAAAATAATTTACACAAAATAAGAGGGTTAATTCAGGAATAAGGTACTCAAACAGCTCCAGCCACATTGGAAGGTGCAAGGCGAAATCTGGCAGCACCGCAGTTCCCCCACTATCAATTCCCCCGAAAGCGCTTCGCCGCTCATTCTTGGCTCAGCAGCTTTTCAATATGGACCTTCCCATTTGTGTGTGTCTGTTCAACACGTCCGAAGGAGGTGGAGGGAGTTTTGTGCTGATCCGAAAGAAGTCCACGATGAAGAACAGAGAAGACGACTGTTAGCCTAGGAGGCAGTCATCAAGATGGTCCAACGCGAGGTGGAATAGGAGGCTCACCGTCCGTGAACTCTCAGGATTCTGACCAACAATTTAACGGACGGTGATCCTCATGTTTGAAGCACTGCGCATTGAATCGCCTCCGAGACTGACAGTCCATTCGTGACAAGAGCTCATACGTTACGCCATTCCCTCCAAGATTGGATGTTTCACTTTTTTTTTATATTCGATCAATCAAACTTTATCATTTCTAGGAACGGGTAAGTTGTTAGAGATGAATAATGTCGAATGTATATCAATATTAAGAGAAATAAACAGGATTGAATAGTTACCTTTTTCTAAAAGCATGTAGCCTCCTAGTTTTGAAATCTAATAACTCCTCTTTAGCCTGCGCTGAGATCGCATCGAACTGTTCACAAGCAGCAGATTGGGCAGCCTCGGCCTATAAAAAAATACATTTTTTTTGTTTCTACTTCAGTTTCAATAATTTTCATGCAAGAAGCAAAACAAATAAGTGCTTAGGTATGATGACTAAATGCAGGCGATGAAAATGAACATCTGAAACTACTCTTGAAAACTGCAGGGTGAAACAAACTATTTTACGACCACATCAAATTTTCTGCTTTACTGCTTTTGAGATCCAAAATTTCTGTGGATGTTTTTGCTAGAATGTGTACCTAAAACATCTGTTATAAAATCATATATTCCTAAACGTTGCCGGAGAGGTGGTTGCAAAAACCAAAAATATGTTACACTCATGCAGTTTTACAGACACATCTAGCTATTCCTGCAATTTCTCACATGCAAAATCTAATGAACTGTGGTCATGGAAGTTTCAATTATTTTCAGAAGGCATGCAGATTATGATCAAAGATTCTTAAACAGCTTGATTGGTAGATAAATATTATCGAAAAAATGTACTGGGTGGGCTACATCTTGACAACCACACACCACAGAGCTATCGGTTAAAAAATTTATAACAAATGTGGTCAGCAGAAATTTTTTTAAACCTCAAAATTAGTTTTTTTCGGAAACATCCATCATTAACATACACGGTAAGTTTTTAGTGTGACCTTGGTCAATAACTGATGGAAACTGTTACTATGTCAATCTTATTTACTTTTTGTTATGTGAAGGACATCTTTTCAGGGTATTTATGATAAGAAGCGAATATGAACATTCAATTGAAAAACAAAAATTTTAATGGTGTTATGCTATTAGCACCAACTGTCCTATCCTTTTTTTATATGAGATCATACAAAAAAACAATGGCAATATTTCAAGAGCGAAGGTGCATCCAAAAATAACACAAAATTTACTAGTTTCTATAAATATGGGTCCTATGTACCAAGGTACCAAACAAGTCAAACAACGCTGTTTTGGAGTGTTGCTACCCTAATACACTACATACAATATTGGCTCTCAGACTTCACCAACTTTAGTATATTTTTAAAGAAGAAACGATTTAAGTTGAAAATTGGTACAGACCTTAAATACGTTAAAAATACTGGAGCCAACATATTTTATTGGCGGCTAAATGTCAAAAAAAATAACTCATATTTCTCTAGAACTGTAAGAATTATTATAAAAAGTATCATACAAAAGTTCTATTCATTTTAAAATTTGTTCAAGTACCCTTATTCAAAGCGTCACCATGTAAGCGCTACTATGATTGATCTGTGATATCCAAGGTACTAGTGTATTGATATACTCCTATGCAACACGTGCTAAAATTACATATCACTTCTACAGGGAGCGTCTAGAATAAACACGTGTTTTTTCAAATATTATTGTATTCAAAATCAAAATAATAATAATAATTAACGTCTTTTATTTGTAATATTATTACAGGAGGCGAGATTTAGATAATATATCTATTCCACCATCTAACCCCCTTAACAATACGAGATGTATAAAAAAAACTGAGAATTTGTTGAAAATTAATACCTGTATACAATAACGACAGAATAAAGTATAATCTAAGTAAAGGCATAAGGAAAATATGAGGCCACTTATGGGTTACAACAGATTTCGCTGCTGATCAAGTAG